ACTGTTCCAGTTGTTTGAAAAGATCATAAACAGTTGAATGAAGGATACTGCGATTCAAATTTGGAGGAGAAAATGGATTTTACATTAACCCTAAACCCTAACCCCTAACCCTAAAAATATGCAACCCCTGAAATGGGACACATCAGGCAAAAACCTGCAGCAGCAAAAACTGTAATACCAAATGTGCCTGTAGTTAGAGGAACAGGTACACAGATAACGATTAAGAAAAGTGATTGTTTAACATGGAGACACATTAAAGATGCAAAAAGGATGGAAAATAGCTAGAAGAGCAAGTCTTAATGAAACAAATATGTATTATATGAGGACTGGCCAACTATTTAATGGAAATAACTTCATTGTGCTAATCCACTGTGAGTCAGAGGGTAAGACCATGACGGATGTAAAGATTATTAGCAGTAACAGGGTTTCGGAAGAGAGAGTTGGATGAAACGGTGCAGCAGCTGTAGAGAGACGTTGCAGCTGTGACCTCTCTCTCCTCACCCTTGTCCTCTTTCTCATGATGCTCATTGTGAATGTGTTGTGTAATGCAATCACACAGTTACAGTGTGATTTCCACATGTCAGCAAAAAACAAAAAAAACTTCACTAGCTCTGCCCAATATTTCACAACTTTCCATTGACTCTCATCCTTTCAGCGTTGTTTCTCCCCGTTAATCATTATTATTCATACCTCCCAGAGCCTTGAACTCAAATCGGAAAGTGTCTCAAGAGGATTCTACGCTGTTGTTCTTTCTTTTTCTCGCTTGATTTCTCTTTGTACTCCCCCTGATCTCTCTCTTGAGTTTCTCTTTTTCCCCGAAAGTTCCTTATCTTTCCAAACATTCCAAACAAGTATGAATGAGTCTTGTATAATAGGATACAGTTCATGCAAATGTTCAGGCAAAACGTAACAGAAGACAAATGTTTTTCCATCATTTCATATGAAATCATACCTTATAGAAGCTTTTAAATCCTCTGCATAAGGCCCTTCATGGTATGAGCTGGGTACAGTTGTTTTTTGTGTCTATGACCATCTTTTTCAAGCTCAAGGAAACTAAAGTGTCTGTAAACAATGTAACCAAGCTGTGTACTGGAAATGATGGATCCGAACTGTCACTGTGACCATCCTGCGTGATTCGCTTTTAATGGCAAGCTACCACTTAAAACCAGACTTACCATGAAACCAAGAATGAATGTTTGTCGAGCTGCATGTGAAGCCACAACAGGCCAGTTAGCTTGCACAATAACCAGATAATGGCTCTAAACAGGGGATGTCTGGCTTCAACCCACCATTGCAGTATAGCAGAAATAAATTAGACATGGTTACCACAGGGGGAATGAGCTCAGTTTGGTGAAGTCATGTAAGGATGTTTATGAGATACAAAACTGTGGTCAAAAAATGATGAACTTATTTTTTGACAAAGAAGAAGCTTTACCATGTTCATGGACAGAAAGGTCAAAGCTTTAAATTCTTGAAGATCAAAGAATCAAAGAATCAATAACACATGGGGGGGAACTTTCAGCTTTTTGGGTGGCGCCATAGTGCCGCTTTAGTCGATTTTCGTGCAGTGGATTTCTATGGTTTAATATAATATAATCATCCAAGATTGTTAAGAATGTGATTATGTCATTATTACAGTATGAAGCAATGACATATTGATTTCCCCTCCTCTGCTGTCAGGCCTAAAGAAGATAGTCCCTCTGCGGTAGAGGCTTTGCAATTTTCTGTGAAGACTCAAGTCAACACAGAAACATGTTATTGTACAAGCCTCCATAGATCAACACATCCAAGGTGTAAAATCACTGCAGTAAATTACATGACCTATCCACCTCTTCACATTTACGTAACATCCCCCCCAACCGACAAACATCTCCTTATATAGATCAGTGAACTCCAAAGGTATAAAGGGTTGGATAGAAAGAGGGAAAGAAAGAAAGACCAAGAGTTGAGGATAACCATCACAGAAAGGGTAGTTGTGTATGTGCAGATACTAGATAGACAATGAGATTGCATTGACACCGAATCTCTGTAAGTAAAAACACATGTGCAGCTGCACTGTTTAGAAGGCTTGTCTCTTCACTTCTAGAGCTGGCAAGATTTCTCTAACAATAACCCCAAAGGCTTCAGTCAGAATGACCTGTGTGTACATTCTTTTAAATAAAATGACTCAGACCTTCATGCTGAAGACGTTTTGTCCTGAGATCTCTAGTTTCCCATGTTTCTGTTGAGGATAATAGTCTGTCCACATGCCAGCTTACAGACTCCCATGTATGGGATGGATTGCAACAGAGTAGACCTGCTCTTTCAGTAAAGTGTCTTGGGCTATACTAATAAAGATTGATTGGTGCGATTAAAAAAACGTCCTTTCAAATTCTGTCAACATAAAATCCATCCAGTGTCTTGAAAATGTGTCCAGACTGCAGATTTCCTGACAGTATGGCATAAGAGAGGCTGAATGTTTTGCCTTGATTTCGCATTAACTGATGATGAAGCGGTTTCGTTGTCGTAACAGTTGAGCATGTGACATTTCAGAAGAGAAAAGTGACAGCCATTGTTCTGTTTTTCACATTTGTAATGGACGGATAACTCTGAAGCAGTTTTCTTAAGAATGGTAAATGGACTTTAGGCTTGTTTAGAGATTTTCTTGTCTCTGACTACTCAACGAGCTTTTACACTATCAATTGAGAACTCACACCTGTTCACACACTGATGGCAGAGGTTGCTATGTGAAGTGACCATGTGAATTAACTAATCCCATACATACGACCCCAACGAAGTAGCGGAAGCAAATTGGGGTTAAGTGTCTTGCCCGAAGACACATTGCACATGTGGCTGCAGGATCTGGGGATTGAACCCCTGCCCTTCTGGTTGAGAGACAACCGACTCTAACAAGTGAGCCACAGCTGAATGCAACCACCTTGCAAGTTTTAGAAAGTCTGTGTAGATCTTGTCATCTCAAAGGAATTCAAGTTAAGATTTTCTTTGTTTATCCTTCTTAACTATGCAGTTCTATTATATCCATCCTGCTTTAAGGACTGAATGACACTGTTTTGCACATGCACAGGTGGAGGAGCTATCAACAAATACACCTGTGACCACTGATGACCCTTGGTCTGTTTATATTTTCAAGTGTCATCAGAGGATCTGTTTCTGCAGAATCTTCAAGTATTCTGAGTGACTGGACGCTTTGGTGGTCATCCAGGATTCATAGAACCACAGTTACAACAACTTTATGTTATCAACAAAGCTCTGAGATATTCAATTCCATATAGACAACCTCTTGCTCGTCTATCCGTCATATTGTCTTTAATTCTTTATTTCTTTAATGATAGAGACAAATGTAATCATAAGGACAGCTTTAAGACTCTTCTGTACTGCTTAGCGATTATATGACATCAGTTTACAAACTAGTATGAACTGAATCTAATTTCTCTGCAGGACTTGATTTTCTTCAAACTCGATAGCATTAATCAACAAACTGTATGTAATCTCATATCTTTTTTAACATAAACCAAAAGGAATACAGCAAACAAAGTATGCATGAATCATCAGTAAGTGTCTGAATCATCATTAGGGCAGGCATCTGCACTTAAACTTGGCTGATGCAGCCATTGATAACATGTCTCTGCCAGGACAACTGTATCTATAATTGTAAAGAAATCTAAGGACCCACCATGAGTGAGTGTTTCACCTTCAAAGCTGTCTAGACATGACTACATTGCAGGAAGTTAGCACTCATGGATCGGGGGAAAGAAAAAGTGATTCTGTTTTCCCCTCTACATACAAATTTCATTTCAAAAGTTATCACTATTCTCAACATCTTAAAGAGAAAATCAAAATGAAGAAATTAAGAGGAACAAAAGGTTCCAAACTCGCAAGAAATAATTTAAAAAACTCAGCTTAAACTTTTAATTTTCAGTGATAACCAAAAAGGGCATCTTCTAAAGTCAGTCACCAACAGAAAAGATCAACTACACTGATAGATAAAGAACCCTACTATTGTGTTTTTTAAGACCTAATCTTGAAATAACTTAGAAATAACCAACCAAGGACAGAAATTAGCGTGGAGAAGAATTAAGTAAAAAAAAAAAAAAAAAAAAAAAACTTTCACATTTCCAAAGTTAGCTTTAGTATCACCGATGTATCAGTTCAATAAAACTCCTGGACATATAAACACTTTCCAGACATTGAAACTCTGGGCTACTGGAGACTTTCCAGACACTGACGCCACTGACCTAATTCCTGCAGATGTCTCCCAGGGTTGTAGAAAACCTATGGGCCAATACACTGCATCGCATCTACGTTCCTTCAGCAGGGTGGCTGTTATTCTATGCAATATTTCTCGATGAAAAGTGGAGTTTCATGGTTGGAGTGAATTTGGGCAAAATGAAGTTGGAGTAAAATCGAAATGGAATACAAATGAAAGCATGCATGGCATTCTTCAGGCACAATCTGAGTCATCCAAGTGACTCAGGCAAAAGTCACATTAAAGAATGTTTGGTAATCTGGTAATATTTATATTCCTCAATAAATACAACTTCAAGGATTTTGATGAGAAAGGGCTGTGGCTCTTTGACCAAAAGGACCACTAACCTTAAACCTTTACAGTAAGTGGGTGGGCTGTGGTCAGGGTCTTACCATTTTAGACAGGATGGGGTAAGCGATCTGCTAATGGGTGATTGTCTTGGAATCATGATTACCAATATATTTTGAAGTCTGTTTACTTCGGTGTTGCATGGAGACAACCCTGGCATCTTAGGAAACCTCTGTCTGCCTTCGCTCATAGTTTAAAAAAAGAAGAGGGAAGAAGAGTTTACGAGCCGAAATTTGCGTAATCATCTCTGAATCGTAAAAAGGTTGGTATGCCTCACTTCTTCTACGCGCAGCGTGGGTTGTCGCTCTCTTTGTTGGCACCTCCCTCCTCCGGCTGAAGCAAAGCCATGCCCAGATAAATCACTCCCCCAGACTGCTAACCTGCACACTGGGGCCGCAGACCGGAGAGGGGCGGACTGAACAGGGAAAGTTGGGAGCGAGGAACACAATCAGAGTCTGCACTGGAACCAACTTCTCTCCGTCCCCAGTGAAATATACTTTGCACAAGGAGCACCTGTGAGCACATTCTGCAAAAAAAGAGGAGTCGTTCTCATTCAACAGAATGTCTGGCAGCACCATAGCCAGAGTGCTGGTTGCGCTCTGTATCGGGAGCGCGGTGAACTGCATGCCCAAAGAGACGCACGAAATGGCACGAAATCGGCGACAAGCGCAGCAGCATCACGTCTCCTCAGTCCCTCAGGGTACGTTTTTTTTTTTTTTTTTAAAGTTGTTCCCACGAGTGTTTGATCACTAAATTGACTAAGTGTAGTGAAACATGGTTAGAGTAGGGGCCAAAAAGGGCTCACCTAATGTAATTTGTGAAAATGTTTGGTTTTTAGAAAGCAAAACTTTCTTGCAACAAAAGAGCAACAAAAGTTAGAAACTTTTGTGTTCAGTAATGTCCCTTTTTTGTATTGTTCCTAAATCTTATGCTCCAGTCTTGGTGTGGCCCTTTCTATTAATCTGCGTGTGAAGGCAACTGATCAAAGCTTAAGACAAAATCAAATGAATGGAAACACTTGGTGTCAATTTTAAACTTGAAAAGAGTAAAAAAAATTAAAAAAAAGATGCTTGTGGCATGTGAAGTCATGGGATGTGAACAAAGAGCGTGCCTGGTGGGGGGGGGGGAGAGAGAGAATAAGGTGTAGAAGTGTACTCCAGTCTGTGCAGCTGATTTATTACTCAGTCTTGGGGGGCCTTTGAAGTGAAGTTAACACATCCAGGGTCAATTTCACAGACATGGGTGAAGTCTTTTCCCACAATACAACGTTTATTCAAATGTAGGGTTTGCTTACTTTGGTATAAAACCTTTTTTTTTTTAACTCAATAACACAAGCCTATTTGTTTTGTAATGGTCAGGGCTTGACCATTTTCCAGTAGTTGCACTTTTTTTCCACAATGAAAAAAAGGACAGGGTAAGCAGGTACAGTGTTTGTTGGTGTGTGCGGGTGGGGTGTGTTTTTTTTTCCTCGCTCACTTTTTCCCTGCACTGTATGTGTTTTGATGTAGAAGTAAATTGAGGGGTTGCCTTTTTCTAGCTTGTAAAAAAAAAAAGTCTCACTACGTCTGTATTTTCTCTCCTGTCAGATGGTTGTATAGAGAACGATCAATTCTATGGTATTAATGACCAGTGGGAACGGCCATATTTGGGCAGCACATTGACCTGTACCTGCCATGGAGTTGCTGGCATAAAGTGTAAAAGCAAACCTGAAGGTATGTTTGTGTGTTTTGATCTTGGATCTTTACATCCACAAATCACATATTGTGCATCTTTTTCAACATCAGGACACCCTAATCCATGCCTTTTTGTATTAAAACACTCGTAACACAGATCTTTTCCATTCTCTTCTCCCTGTAGCAGAGGAAAGATGCTTTGATAAAGTCAACCAGCAGTACTACACTGTGGGAGAAACCTATGAGCGACCCAAGGACGGCATGATCTGGGACTGTACCTGTATCGGGTCTGGCAAGGGCAAGATCAGCTGCACCATTGCCAGTAAGTTATTTTTTCTCTTTGAGTTTCTGTTCTACAAGGAGCTGCTCTGCTGCCGTTAAGTGTTCTGACGCCAGACCACACGTCCTAGCTAATGTGTTTCTGTGTATATTCTGGTTTCCCAGACCGATGCCAGTAAACTGCTTAATCTCAATATTCTCCACAGCTGATTAGCAACTGGTGCTGTGCAGCTGTTAGCAGTTATCTGGGGGGGGGGGGTGGATAATGGGAGAATGTCTGGGTGTGTTTTTCTTTTCCTTTCTGTGCAAACCCTTAAATGCACATGAATCTGTCTCTAAAATCCTTTTTCCCCCCTTCTGTCTCCTCAGATCGCTGTCATGAGGGTGGGGCTTCATATAAGATAGGTGACACCTGGAAGAGACCCCACGAGACTGGAGGCTACATGCTGGAGTGTGTCTGTCTGGGTAATGGAAAGGGAGAGTGGACCTGCAAACCTGTCGGTGAGTCACTCGGTTAGCCTCTGACTAACAGATGACTGTACTTACCTGATTGGAGAACTGGCTGAATTTCTAAATTGAGTGCCAGTAAACTTGTGATGGTTATTAATGGATTATCATCTGTGTTACACAGTCAGTAAATGAATGAATATAATTTATATGATTTTTTTTTTCGAACAATGTTTGATATGTTCAAACATGTTATGTATTAAGCACTCGATAAATGTTTGTTTTCTCCAGCTGAGCGTTGCTATGACAACTCTGTGGGAACATCATATGTTGTTGGAGAGACTTATGAGAAGCCATACCAGGGATGGATGATGATTGACTGCACCTGTATGGGAGAGGGAAGTGGACGCATCACATGCACCTCCAGAAGTAAGACATTCCACTTTTTTTTCCCTCTTTGAGCCAAACTGTCAGCTTCCCATTTGTTATTGCTCCCTCTACGTCACTCTACTTTTTCAAAATCAGATGGAGAAATCTGGGTCATTAAGGGTCCCACAACCAGAAAATCAACTTACAGTTCCTGCTGAAATTCAGTTTTTTTGTAACAAGCTACACATCAATACAGGTGTCGTCATTATGAATATATGCACTCTCTCTGCACTTACAAGAACTTGATGCAAAATGTAGCCTGTGATTTGTCAGAGCATTTGAACAGTCTTGAGCAGGAAGTGTTTACAAGTTGTGTTTCCAATTAGATCCATTACTTCCATCCTTAATGAAGCTGACTGATGTAACAGATCTAAATTAATGTCAGTCAATGTTGGCTTGTTGTTGCACACGAGACTTCGGGTGGCCTTGGACATTTTTAAAGTGATCGTTCATCAGTAAATTGTAATCATGCATGTGTTCAACATGTTACCGACAAAGGCGGAAAAATTGCAAACATGAAAACAGCTGGTGCCCAGGAGGAATCGTTCCCTACAGAGTCACTGCAAACATCTGCACTTGAATTCTGCCCAACAAAACAACTGTGACAAACTTTTATTTTGTTGATTTTTGGCAGGACCTGTGGGCAGTAGGTGTGGTAGTTAATTCGTTAAGGATGCTCAAGTTATAAACTTCTGCAAGATTTTTAGTGGTGACTCCGATCCAATCATGTGTAGGGTATCAAAAATGAGCGAATCATCTCTCATTACGGGTCTAATTCGCATATAGGTCATTAAGTGCCATTATTTATAATGTGAGACTATTTCTCAGTCATCTTAAACTAAGTTAATGCCTACATGAAATTTGATTTCTCACATTTCTTACTTTTAGATCGCTGCAATGATCAGGATACTCTATCCTCCTATCGCATTGGAGATACCTGGACCAAGACAGACGCCCAAGGAAACATGCTCCAGTGTCTGTGCACAGGGAATGGCCGAGGGGAGTGGAAGTGTGAGAGACATGGCTCTCTTCACACCACTGGCCTGGGTGAGAAATGATAATACCCCTTACTCTCCTCCCCCTTCTTTCCTGCCCTCTGTGAGGAGAGAGAAATGTATACCAGAGACAGATGCAGTGAGGTGGGGGGAGATAAGAAGTGCCAAGTGTTCAAGTGTTGAAGTGAGAAAAATGTCTCTTGTAACACATGATCATGAGCTCATGTGAAGGAGAGAGGGGCCGTTGGGTAATGAAGAGGTAAAGATGAATCATGGGAAAATCGGTTGGAGAAATGTGCTAAAAGTAGGTTAGAGTGATTATTGCGTGTGAGGAAAAAACATTTGCTCCTTGTTGCACTAGGACAGTGAAAAAAAAGAGTTGCATGTTGTAAAACAGAACTGTATTCTTCTGTTACAATCAAATTATCCATTTATAGTTACAGCAGTTGTAAGAAATATTTAATTTGGGAAGTTCTTATGTGGCTTTTTGATACTCGTGCTGCCCCTAAACTGAATCCTATGGTGCATTTCAGGCAGTGGTTCTCGAGTGATCACTAACATCCAGCCTGCAGTCTACCAGCCTGCCACTGTGCCTGACTTTCCCCAGGAGGGTCCCTGCCGGTCAGATACAGGACTGAACTATTTCATTGGTCAGCGCTGGATAAAGAACCAGGGCACCAAGCAGATGCTCTGTACCTGTCTTGGCAATGGAGTCAGCTGTGTACAGTGGGGTGAGGAACAACTTATAACACAGGCATGCTATTGCTTGAGGTGCTGAGCTTTTGATAATACCTGTATTTAAAGTTATACTTACTATATTTGTGTGTGTTCCTGTCTTCAAACAGATGGACCAGCTCCAGTGTATGGTGGCACCTCTGGTGGTCAGCCCTGTGTAATTCCCTTCGTCCACAAGGGGAAAACCTACCACTCCTGTACCTCAGATGGACGCACTGACGGACAGCTCTGGTGCGCCACCTCCTCAGACTTTGAGACGGACCAGAAATATTCCTTCTGTACAGAGAAGAATGGTAAGCTGATGTTCCAAGAACTATTAAAGGCTGGGAATTTAAAGCGAAATTGGCAAGGCATAGAAAGGGTCTAATGTTGTTTTATATATAAAACAATGAATCAGAAGGGGACCAAAAAAAAGTTTTTTGTCTTTGACAGGTAAATATGCTCAACAAGTTCTGGTTTAGTCTTATATAAGGTTTTTATTTGTATTTATTTATTGAAAGATGGCGATTGAAAGTGGACTGTTTTTTTTTCATCTCAGAAATACTAACAATGTTAAATCTTTAACTGAGGAATTACAATCCAGCTAAGCTTTACAGCTAGCTCGCATCTACACAGCTAACCTCTCAAGCGATGTTATTAGAGAGTAAACAAAGGGTGAAAAGCAGTGGCATATCCCTGTTAATACGTTTAAAGCAAGATACATGAGACTAAATGGTAATTCCTTTAAACTGTGAATTAGAAACTTTTTTTTTCCAGGACTGTGAACTAGCTTGTCCTATTTTTAATCTAACATTGGCTAAAACAGCTAAAGAGTAGTCAACAGTAGGCTATGAGGCCTATGTTCCAATATTTAAGTGGGTTATAATTTTTGAACTACGACAAATGTTGACCAAAAACTAGCTTTGTTTTCTGACTAAACAGAAAAACGAGTATAAACAAGCAAACACATAGCTCAACAATCAGTAGGCTATCATATTCATATTCAAAGCTTGTGTTTGTGCTTGGTATAAACTCATATTGTTAAATACTATACATGTAAGTTATGAACATACATATTTAATTTGGATATGTATATCTAAATTTCTAATGTTACCGTTTCATTTTTACAGTAATTGTGGCAACACGTGGTGGCAATTCTAACGGTGCTTTGTGCCAGTTCCCCTTCCTCTACAATGGTCGAAACTACACCGACTGTACTGCTGATGGACGTAGAGACGGCATGAAGTGGTGTGGCACCACAACAAACTACGATGGAGAACACCGTTTTGGGTTCTGTCCCATGGCTGGTAAGTCTGTTTGTGTTTATTTTATGCAAGTATGTGTGTTAATTGAGAAAAAGGGCCAGGGGACTTGTAAGTTTTGGGCTGGAGATGATGTCATTTAAAATAAAACGGTTTAAGCCTACGCTTTGAAATTATAATTCAAACTGCCATGTTGGTGAAAACTGCTTTGGCTCAAGCTTTTAAAAAACTTTTTTTTTTTTCAAATGTCAACTTCAGGGAAATCACAGGAGACTTTTAAAACTATTTGTCACAGTTTTAATGCAGTTGTTTTCAAGAATGTTACATTTCTACACAATGTGCAAACTCGAATGTGACAAACAATTTCTCTTAAATGCTTTTCCTACAACAGGCAATTTGAAATGGTCTAAATGTCACAAAAGCATGTTTTAACGTAACTATATTTCTTTGGAAAACCTTGCAAAGTGGACCTGTGGATCAGCTCAGTAGTTTGCTAGCCACAGGGGCCATAACATGATTAGCATCATCAATTACAATGTCCCACCCTGCCCTAGGTAAGATCTCTCCGCCCAGTCTAAATGAAGGAGTAACACTTTGTAAAAACAGAACTCTGGGTCACCTTGTTAAATATGCATAAAAGCTATTATCAGCGTGACGTTTAAAAGAAGTCAGGGCTAATAGCGCAGACAAAATCTAATTAACCGCTCCAACACCTTTTATCTATAACATAATCCTATTCACACTGAAGTCACTGTTGGCTTGTAAGGAACATGTTGTTGTGTTGTTTAGGTGTCAATTAGGTCTCCATGGGAAACAAAAGAGGCTGAAGCCAGTGAAACACCAGGGGGTCATTGACACCGCCTTAATGGCAGCGTAGAAGTAATGAAATGGTAATAATGACACCAATGCTGTTACATGAAAAGAGGAAACTATAAAACTCTGAAGAATCCCCTTTGGAAATCAGAGTTGATGAGTGTAGATGTCTAGTGATGTTATTTAGAAACAGCTGCTCAAACAAAAAAAATGTTCAGGTGTCAAATCCACTTAATACAAAGAAAGGCAAGCTGTTGGAACAAATGTGCTTCTTTGGTATTGAAGATGAGGATCAAAGCTTGTGCTGTTCATCCTGACTGAAAATGAATGCTGAAGTTATACCAAGACCCTACTTACATCGAAGTTTAGTGACATCATTGAACGATATCCAAAAATCACAGAGAAGGTTATCCCTAGTGTAAACCAGAATTCACTCTCACTGCTGTCTCTAGGTAGAGTAGTAGACTTCAAAGTAGACAGAAAGTGAGTGGAAAATTGTGTTTGGCAGCAGGCTGTAAAATGTGGATGGTACCCATTTGATACTTGCACAAGACTCATCTGACATAAAGTAGTCTTTGAATTCCAAGAGAAATGGAGCGCTGGATTTATTTAATCTCATCTTGAATTTATCTTTTCTTTTGTTTTTTTTTGCAATGTGGATGGCAGATAGGAGTTCAGACATTTGAAACTTGTTTAACTCCACTCTGAAGTCAAGGGATTTCACTGTCTGCAGATGATTAGAGTTGATACACATGTAGAAGATCTGTTGAACAGTAATGTTTGTGTCCTTTTGATGATAAACTTCACTTGTTCATTGCGAAGGATGGGTAATAGGTATGCTTACTTTTTCTAAAGCTATACTTTTTTTCAGAATTGCTTTAAATGCCTGCAACAGTCCAGAGGCCAACATTTGGGCCGACACCCTGTTGTTAAAAACGCCTTGTAAAGATTTCAAGAGGGAAAGAACAGAGGCCTTTAGACAGTGGTAAACTCCATCCAGCAGTCAAAGCAGCAGGGGTTCTTAGATATTAACATTAATGACTTCACAGGGATTGTCAAAACAAACATGGTACTTGACATGTTAATGATGGTAATTAAAACATCAGTAGTCTTCTGGAGCCCCTTCTCCTACACCTGTAACCATCCTCTGGAAAGATTGCTAGATAGGCTTGTCTGTGTGTGTTATAGATGGTAGCTCAAACATCTCCAGATAGCCGGTCAGGGTACACCTTCGTATTGCCAACTGCACCAGTACAATTATTGGATCCGGATTGTTTATCTCTACCTTAACAAACCTCCTCAGAATCAGGGTTGAATTTTCCCTTTCCACTGAAATAACACTGAAATTCCACTTAAATATATTTGTAAAAGATCTATGCTTTTTACCTTTAATGGCCTATTTCAGAGTCATTAAACCAGTGGCAACATTATCTGAAGATAACAATGACTGGTTTTAAAGAGTTACGTTTCTTAATTGCTTGTTTGTTTTTAAGAATGGTTGAGTCTTTTGCAGTTCTCTGGGCATAGAATATGTTTAAGCCCCAGTCCGAGCCATTGGGTATTTCATCTTTACATGCAAGCAGCAATCTCTGGTGGTATTTTACACCAATGAGGAAGTGCAAACTGCAATTCCTTATGGTCCAGTTGAGGCTGGCTGCAAAAGCCCACCTATACACTGGTTCTAAAATGGTGTGAACAGCTAATTTCTTTATCGCGGGTTAGAGTTATTCATACTAAGTGATGGGGCTGATCTGGCTGACGGGTGGGAGTGTTGCAGCTGTTCATCAGGAGGCTGAAAGCCCGCCTCAATTTCAGCTCTTTGTCTGTTACTTGGTTGACCAAAAGTTAGTTTGACACAGCATTTCCAATGTGTCAACCACCACTGACAGGCTTTAAAGTCAGATTCAGATAGTAATGGTTGTTGTCACTAAGACTATGTCCATGTTTTATACCGTCTGTGTCTACAAATCTATTTCATTATGTGTTTAAAAAATGTCAAGGCCTTGTTTTTTTGCCTCAGGTACAGCATTGTGCAAACCAAACCCAGTCCAAGCGTTTTTGACTTCCAGGAACCAGATGTCTGACCTTGGTTCAGTTTCTGCACGCCATAGCAAATTTGGGCTGGCTTCCAATACAGCAAATCATTTCTTATCTCCACTTGCCTCCACTTCATGCCTCCACTCTTAGGTGTGGCAGCTGAAGCAATGTCAGTCATAGTTTTTTTTTTATAACAGACATGCAGAGAAGATACCTGGTCCAATAAAGAGAACTTACTGAAATGTTGTTTCTCCTCTCACACACAACCACAGAGGACTGCATCCACTCTAATGCTGCCCTGTTGAAAACTTTCTATCTTTCCTGATCGAAACAACTTACTGTTTTAATTACTTGAGAACATATGGTGAACACACACAGTCCTCAACACACACAAGGAGAGAAGCAGCTGTTTTTGGCTTTTAATGTTGGAAAAAAGGTGTTTTCTGATAGTTGTGTCACTTCCAGCCTTGGGTTGTAATTGCCAGTTATAGTTACTGATCTCTGAGGGGGGTCTTTTATCTTTTATGTATTTGAGTCTGTTTTTATCTCAGAACCAAAAGGTCCTTGTCCTTGTTATTAAGGAAATACAGACAATTTGTTCTTCTGTGTTGGATTTCCAACCCTTTTCTTAATGAACATTAAAACCAAAAATACATTCTTGAAGTAAGAATTAACCAATATCCCACCAAATTAACATTTTATGTGTTGTGTGTTCTAGCCCAGGAAGAAGTATGTACCAGCACTGAAGGGGTGATGTACCGCGTGGGAGACCAGTGGGACAAGCGTCACGATGTTCTGGGCCACATGATGAGATGCACCTGTGTGGGCAATGGCCGAGGAGAATGGAGCTGTGCGGCTTACTCCCAGATTAAAGGTGTGTTTGTGTGTAACAGGAAAACACACTGAGGTTACACAGAGGAAGAAAATGTGATTGAGAGGCATGGAAGTATGTGTAGGCTTACAATTAGTGGGTAACATTAGAGGTCTGTGACTGATTATATGACATGTGACCTTTCACCTCTTCACTCAACTGCCAAAAGATTAACAGAGAACCTGCACACCTGCACTTTATGGTGCACCTGCATTACACACTTTCACATGCACACATACCAATGTCTTGATATTATATGTCGTATGTTTAATTGACAGATCAGTGTATTGTGGACAATCTGACCTACGAGGTGAACCAAACCTTCACCAAACAACACAATGAAGGCTACATGATGAACTGTACCTGCTTTGGACAAGGGCGTGGCCGCTGGAAGTGTGATGCTATTGGTGAGTTGAACTTGTTACATGTGTGCATCTGTAATGTGTTGTCATTTTGCATGACTGCCATTCTGTCAGTTTCACCTTACATTTAAAAAAGTAAAATTGAAACTCCTGAACTCCTGCTACACTAGTGCTAATTTGTCAATACCACTGCTAGACCCACAACTCAAACCAAAGGGGCCTGAAAAATAAAGAATGATATATCAGTGGAGCACTATTTGTTCTTGCTCCAAACTCTTGTCAGTGGTTCCTGCTGCATTATTTGTTTTTATGTGTCTCTGCCCTCAGATCAGTGCCAGGAGCCGGAGACAAGAGCTTTCTATCAGATCGGAGAGTCTTGGGATAAAGTCATCCATGGAATTATGTACAAGTGCTATTGCTATGGTAACGGCGTTGGAGAACTCAGCTGTGAGCCTCAGCAGTCCTACCCCGGTAAGATGTTACATTAAGGTTGAATAATGAGCTGACAGTATTTTGTATAGATACAAGATTTGGCTGTATTACACATTGAAATTTGGATCTTGATGGACTTTTATATTCTATTTGACACAAGTGTGTTTGCAGAAGTTGAGTTTAAAGTTATCCATTTATCATTTACTGGGTTGGCCAAATCTGACATTACTCTATAGTGATGATTTCTGTAAAATGTCTCAAGCTGTATTATATCACAGTATTTTTTCATTGATATCCAATAACAGTGGGTTGTTCAAGCGTCGTGTCTTAAACTGGGATAGCCAAGTTGGTGTCGATATGAAAACTGTTTGAGTAAAGGAGACCAAACGGACAAAATGCTAAGTGAAGCAAAATGTTTGTTTAGGTCACCAGAAAATGAGACCCTTGACTTTGATGTGAAACAGGCAGAAATGGGAGGGGGTGTGATTTCCTGTTTTACAGATTCACCCCCCACTTTGAGCCTTTGTTCTTGTTAGCATGTGGTACATCCCCGGTGTTGTTGCCACAGCTGCACAAAACACCACAGTGCAGGTGTGTGTGTGTGTGTTTAGACTCCCTAACACACACACCTACCAAACATAAACCGTAAAACCTTAGGAGGAACGTTTTTCATTAAAGGATTTTAGATTTAGGAAAGAGTTTTAAATTAAATGTAAACACATGTCAGTGTTTACATTTTGGCTTCGTTAGCTCTTCTCCAGGATCATGCCACATTGAACCGAATACGTAGGAATGATGTTTTTTTTTTTTTTTAACCTTGTAACCTGAGACGGAGCTTGGAAAAATAGTCTTAATTGCAAGCAAACTTTTTACGGTAATGTTTCTTACAATTTGGTTTGACTTCTGAAGTCGTCATGCATCTTATCCCCGTCACAGATTATTTGTGTATTTTCTTTTTTTAGCGCTCTGTCATGTTTTGCAACCCAGTCACATTCCTGTCTGGATTTTCCCATTTCTCAGAGTGAGATACAACCCCCTCTTGAGCTGGAAACAATCCCTTTTTCTTCCTCAGCATGACTTGTTTTATGGTGATAGTAATATTGCATACTCTGATAGACATGTATGCTGTATTTAGCTCTTTAGAGGAACCTAAGTTGTAAAATTGTCCTCAGCATGCATAAATTTGCCTGTGAAGCTTCAAGGGAGTCCACTGTGCAACAAACTTCAGGCTCGTGATGCATAAGGGAACATTTGAGCTGTAACTTCTTTGCTTTTTATGAAGCAGGTTGACAGGAGATACAAAATGTAGGGCACTATTCTGCCGTAAGTGGCCATAATAGCAACCAGCTGTGAACTTGCTCCGTGTGTGTGTGTGTGTGTGTGCATGTGTGTGTGTCTATGCAGAGGCAAAATACGCCATGCTAAGATTTAAGGGCAGCGAGGAGCAAACCCAGACTCTAAGTCAATTGGCTCACTGGTTAGAAGACCATAAAAGGTAAAAATGGAAAACCCCAGTTAAGTCTCAGATTTAGCGACGACATTGATAAGATCTTCTAAAAAAAAACGTGTTTATGCTGTGTTTATCTCTCCATCTGGGGAGTTATTTAATCTCTTGGGGGCTCTTTGTATTTCTATGATTACTCTCAACAACACTTCCCTTTACTGTTGTTCTTATCACAACCCCACCGTGTGAATCTGTCGGTCTCAAGCATGAATGTTGTGTCTATATGTGTGCGGTAAAAGTGGTTGTTTGTATGCACGCTTGTGCGCCTGTATGTTACAAGTATGTATGCACGTGATGCTGGTAGAATGAACATGAAAAGCATCCACTGCAAGTGTGCATCTGTTTCTCTGTGCGTCCCACATCTGAATCTGTGTAACCTTTACCCTCGCCATTGGCCTGTGGGTCTGTAATAGGCAGTAATTGGTCCCAGATTGTTTTTGAGGTTTGTGTATCTGTAAGCAACTTCTGGTTAACCGAGCCACTTGCTCAGAAACTTTGATTACAGGTCTGCTATTTGGAAAAGCGGTTAAAAACCTCAGTTCTTTATAGAAGCTACCAGTTTCTATCAGCACAGCTTATGTCAGAGGGTCTGCTCAACACATGACTTCTGTTTACATTAAACATGACTGCATACCCCCTTTTTTTATTTCCAAAACCACTTGCGAGACTACACTTTTAACTTCTGCTCATAAGAGTTTTCCTCCTTTTATGTACTTATCTGCTTAATCTATTACTCCCCCCCCCTTCTGAGAAGTTGATACCCCTTACTGTGTAACACAACCTTCTGCAGTACAGAACACAAGTGTACCCAGTGTTTTGTCAAATGTCAGATGTGGTAATGGATGGACAATTAAAAGAAGGATTATGTTTGTTAAAGTTAGATTCATTAAACACCTTACTCATCTTTTCAGACAGTTGCCTCTGCATGCACCTTTTTTTTTTATCCAAGAGAACAGAAATCCTGAGGACATAGGGTTAAAGAGTGTGCAAAAAGCAGAGAAACAGTTTCTCCCCCTCAGCTGCTAGAGTCTGGGCTGGAATCTCACAGAGATGTGCTAGTTTTTCCTCACTTTTCCAGTGTTCTGTTCAGGGAGAATATGGTTGTACATCCACTGATATTTACTCAAATCCAGTTTGTAATAAGTGACAGGATGTTGAAATTTCTGATATTGCATGAGCCCTGTTATTGTGCCAAATTCTGTGTCTTTTCAAAAAAGATGTATGTTATATATTTAACATGATGAATACTGAAAGTGCCTCTTCAAAAATCTGTGACCATGCTGATTTGATCTCTTCAGAACTCCTTTTCTAGTCTGTTTTGTCTACATTTCTAAATCTCTAATCTCCCCCTCTGTCTGTGTTGGCCCCCCCCCCCCCCCTCAGGTGGTAACCGCCCAGTTCAGGTATTAATAACAGAATCTGGAAACCAACCCAACTCCCACCCTATCCAGTGGAACGCCCCACAGTCGGCTCACATTACACAGTACATCCTCAAGTGGAAAGTGGTGAGTTTTGTTGAACAGCTCTCCAACAGGGTGCTTCTTCTCGCTGGTCTCTTTCCTGAAACTGACGATGACACAGCCTTTATTTAACTTGTGTTTCACATGCCAGGTTTATTTAATTAGCCATGCATTTCTCTTTTCCTAACACTGTCCCATCACATTTTACAGAAAAACACTCAAAACCCGTGGAGGGAGGTGTTGATTCCTGGTCATCTAAACTCCTACACCATCTCAGGTCTGAAGCCGGGTATCACCTACGAGGGTCAGCTGATTAGCGTGCTGCGGTTTGGACGCAGAGAGATCACACGCTTTGACTTTACCACCACATACGGATCATGTGAGTTGTGAGAGTTGACGGATCAAAGGGCTGGCTGAGTTTGCTGCATCACTTACTTACCGTTTTGACATTGACCAGGTTATTTTGCTTCCTTTTTCTGTGAAAGATTGTCTCAGCCGCTTGGTGTTTTTTTGCAAATCCTAGCTTAACATTTGTCTAAACCTATCCCACTCTCTCTGGTGGCCAGATATAAATTATGGATGATGGCGTTAAAGACAGAGATCATAAAATGACACTTGACGCATCCATAAAAAAATGACTCTGTTTCTCCCGTTTAGTTCTGAAAATTCAAACCTGAGACTCCTCTCTGAGCTCTTTTTTTTGATCGTCCGAGCCAGTTTTAATTTCAGATGCCACAAGTAGCTAACTCTCTTCTTTTCAAATCTCTCTTTCTCCTGCAGTGGCTACATCACAAGGCGAGACCACCCAGCTTCCTCCTGTGGTTGACATCTCAGAGTCGGTGACGGAAATTACCTCCAGCAGCTTCGTCATCTCCTGGGTCTCTGCCTCCGACACAGTTTCTGGTTTCAGAGTAGAGTATGAGCTCAGTGAGCAGGGACATGCCACTGGACAGCCCATGGTGCTAGGTAAACACAGATATACATACAACAGAAATTGATATTTAACTGCTTTAAAATAATAGCATTTGAAGACTTTATTTCTTCAATATGTTTTGTTTTTTTATCATCAGACCTGCCCCGTACAACTACCTCAGTGAACATAAATGAACTTCTACCTGGGAGGAAATACACTGTCAATGTCTACGAGGTTACAGATGACGGAGAAGACAACCTCATTCTTACTACTTCACAAACAACTGGTACGTCCAAACACACACACTGTCTTTTATTAAATGTATTCCCAGTTTGTCTTCGATGCAATTCTGTCTCATTTCACCTACAACATTTCTGCTGCTAGACTGAAATATTCGTTGCCATCCCAGACCTGTCAGCAGCTTCATGACCATGTGCCAGGAACTTCAGCTCAAATGATTAAGTATTGGTTGTAATTGTCCTTCATTTCATTTTTCCTGCACAGCTCCTGATGCTCCTGTTGAGCATGAAGTGGAGGAAGTGGGAGAAACCTCCATTGTGATAAGCTGGGATAAACCACTTGCTCCCATCACAGGTATGCTCTGGCAGTCTTGTGTACAGCCAAAATCTTTGAACTATATCTGCAGGGAGTTTCCATTTCGACCAAATAATCTGCGACTTTTACCTTCACACAATGAACTGGTCTTTTTTCCTACGTACAGGTTATCGCGTCGTCTACACTCCATCAATCGAGGGCGAAAGCACGGAGCTGACTCTCCCTGACACGGCAACATCTGTGACTCTGAGTGACCTCCGACCGGGGAAGCTGTACAACATCAGTATCTATGCTGTGGAGGATAGCCTGGAGAGTGAGCCTGTCTTTGTACAGGTCAACACAGCTGGAGATCCACTGCCAGGTAAAAGACTGAGATGTGCATTCCTTCAGCTGTTTTCACATATGCACTCATCCTTCACACTTGACCCTCACATCATGAAGTTTACCTGTTTGACGCGATGTGGGTGGGGGGGGTTCTCTAAGGAGGCAGAAAAGGACGCTGCCTTGTTTATTTACAAGATATCCAGGGTGCCGTGTGAAGCAGTGTTCGGGGGCGATAGCGATTTTTGCAAATATAACAATGCTAAGTGTAATTGGATTTATCCAAAGTATCAATGGAAATATGGAAAATCAAATTCCTTCCTGGAGGGAAGGAAAGAATATAAAGCTGCTTTGTTACATGCACAAAACATGTGATTCAAACATCATCATCCCCTCCTGCTCACCCACAGGGATTTTGTTTTCTGACTCTTATCTGCTGCATTCTCACATTGGCTCACCACAAATTCACTTTGGAAATTTGACGTGGGGCCTGGCAGGAAAAGTTTGATTAAAGTCAGGTGTACATTTCAGCCATTTACATGTTGAAGGGAAAGACCAAGAAAATAAGATAGTCACTGGCCTGCTTGCATTGGTTGCTTTTTAAAGTTCGCTCTAACTCTGATGTATGCTTAGCTCAAACCTTTGTCCCCGTGCTCCTGCAGCCTCTGGAGCATCACTGTAAATCTACAAAGGAGGCTTACGTTTGCTTAAGCAATTGCTTTGGTTCTGTGTAGTTCAAACATCTGACATCACAGAGATGAAATGTGTTTCATTGGAAGAATTGCTTGCATTTTAGTCATAGCAGACCAACAATCTGAATCCTTGGCGATTAAGATCCTGAACTTAAATCATTGGATCCTTTGTCTCACATGCTTGGCTTTACGCTCACATGAATTTCTCTTTTGACCCTCCAGAATCAACCTGCAAAGTATCATGAGGCTTATTTAATAATTTATGAATAAGTTTCCAATTCTGAATACTGGAATCGAGGAGTTTTCCGAAAAGTGAAGTCACTGAGTTCACAGCTGTTAAGGTCTTATTCTGCTCAGCTGGAGTTATGTAAAACATCCCAGTCTGCCAGGACGCACACGCTCTTGGGCCAGTCAGACAAAATGTGGGAAGGCTGATTGTTGGTACATCATAATGGAATAAAGATCCATGACCTAGTTGAGTCTGCTGCGGCAGATTTACACCGTGTAGAGTAGACCAAGTCTACACAATATAAGTGGTTGTAACTGGATCGGTTGTAGAGTCACAGCTAAGTGTTGACCTCATACCTTGACATATGATATTGCAGGTCCATCTTATTGATATTTTCTTGTGAGTTAAATTTGCCTGCAGTCTAATCATTACAGACATGTGCTTATATTTAACATCTGGAAACAGCTGTATCTGATTTGATGTGCCTTGTCAGGTCAGGAGGAGTGAATCTGAGTAAAATATGTTCGTTTTAAAGTTCTGAATGACATAAAGCTGTATGTACAGCCACAGAAAGCTTCATTTATTCATTTTGAACTCTTACTTCATTGCTTTTTCCCCTTTTCCTCACCCTCTCCATCTCATTAATTTACCTTTAAAAGCCAATTTATTTTCTTTGCTCTGCATCCAGGTTTCTTTAGTGATGTTTATGTGTTTATTTTGCTCCACAAACTGGCCTAGTTAAGAAACTTGTGTAATTTCTGGCATGGAAAATTCATTAACTCATGCCGAATGTAATCATGTCTCATTTAAACAAAGTGTCCTTTAACAATATACAACAAAAAAGCAGAAAAAATGATGGTTAATAAACACAGCTGTAGAGTCAACATGTTAGGAAGGTAATATTATGTGGAAGCAAAGGAGTTTCTTCTTTGTTGCCATTTTTAAGGTACTGGGAGGTTTAACTTATGTTACATATTCAAGTTCTTACACTGACATATATCTGAGCCCTTAACAGGGCCCTTTCCATCGTTCTCCCTATGTGCACCAGTTCACTTTCTTTTTTCTGCAAGTGTTGTAGTTATTCAATGCATGGGGAGTCATTATTCACAGTTTGAACTTAGTCTAGTTTTTTAACTTAATGAATGATGGTTTCATGGTTAGGCTCATTATGCATTGCTTAATACACAAATGTTTGTTCTTCTCTGTTACATTAAATAAGGTATGGGTCCGTTTTGTTACAACTTTACAACATAATTAGACTCCTGTGAATAGTTTTAATGCCTTAAATTAAATAACAACTAATAATGTTGCTTCAAAAATAGAGATTAAAGAATGAGCAACTTAAATGTAGTGTTTCCCCCCCTGCCTGTCCACAGATGAGGTGGTTTCTCCTACAGACCTTCAGTTCTTCGAGGTGTCCGATAAGAAAATTGTTCTGACCTGGTCTGGACCAACCACTGAAGTCTCAGGATACCGGGTCACCGTCATCCCTGTTGATGAAAATGGTTCTCCCCAGAGGGAAATGACTCTTCCTGTCAGTCAAAACTCCTACATCGAAGTGACACACCTACAGCCTGGAACACTGTACCGCTTCAATATCTTCACCATTAACAATGGAGAGGAAAGTTTACCGCTTACCGGGGAGCAAACTACAAGTGAGTATGACTGATGCACTCCAGGACGCAATCGTGGACATTTCTACACACATAAAAACTGTTTTGCATGTTGATTTAGTTTTGAAAAAAAGCAGCTGTTCCAGAGTTTTGAACATCATCTGAAAACTGTTTGTGTACTTTGAAGAATTGTTTCTTGTGATGTACAATGTATGGTACTTAAACATTATGCTTTTATGTCCTTGAAACCTTTATTCGTCTAGCTTTTTCTTTCTTATAAATGACTGTTTTGCATCTAACAGAGATTATGACTTCTCTCTTTTCAGAGCCTGATGCTCCCACAGATATCCATTTCTCCAATGTGACTGAGGACAGTGCTGTGATCATGTGGTTTGCCCCCCGTGCCAAAGTCACCGGCTACCGTCTCTTCCTCACTGTTGAGGGCTCAAACCCCAAACAGCTGCGCCTGCCTGCCCGCCTTACTCAGTACACCATCCTCAACCTGAAGCCCAGTACAGACTACACTGCTACGCTGCATGCAGAGCAGGACAATACACTGAGTGAAGGAGAGACCGCAGTGTTCACCACAAGTGAGAGCCTGATGCATATTTAAAGAAATCAATTTGAAGCAGTGTGGGGTCTGTGCATGTGATCCGAGTGTTTCTTGTAGTGGAAGGGGGGGGACTATTTGTTTGCCAGAGCGGTGATACAAAAGTCGGTGGTTTTAAAGGGTCATGTTGTATTTTTCAAATTGACTCCCTGCACAAAATATTGGCAGTTTTCCAGTTGGAATAAAACCATAAATATTCGCAATGGTATCAGCAGTTAAAATGTTAACGTTGCATATAAGACGAATAAAGGACATTAGCATAAGTATCCTAGCAACTAGTTGAGCATGTGCTCTAATGATAATAGAGCGCCCTATATAAAGGCAAAAGCCCAAAAATGAAAAGATGGAATATTCATATATCGAACAAAATCTGATCATAATCTTTTTTCTTTCTTTCTGTGTATTTGTAGGCCCGCCAATGGGCAACGCCCCTCATTTCAGCACTGATGTAACTGACACCTCCATTATTATCTCCTGGACTCCAGTTTCCCGCATTGGATATAAGGTATGCTCTCAAACATTTCTTTGATTTAATTCTATGTCTCATCATGCACATGATCATAGATTTGAGGCTGCGTTCCTTTCTTTGAATACAATTAAACATCTGGATTTGGTGATTGTCTCTCATTTTCTGATTTTCTTATTTTGCTTTAGAAAGAGTTCCTAATGTAGTGCAGGCTCCATTTGAATTAGATAACAGGGGAACTACCGACCTCAGAAAGAAGCCTGATTGATCAGAATATGTCACACCCCAGATGTAAATGTTCTGCTGGCCTCCGTGTTCTTGGGAAAGCCCTGACCTATGACCTTAACCTTCTGCACCCCATGTCCACATCTCTCTCTCTCTCTCTCTCTCTCTCTCTGCTGTCTCTCTGACTCTGTGTGCATTTATCTTTCAGTTGACAGTAAGGCCCAGCCAGGGAGGAGAGGCCCCCAGAGACGTGACTTCTGACTCAGGAAGTATTTATGTTTCTGGCCTGACTCCGGGAGTGGAGTACACATATAGCGTCCAACCAGTCATCAACGGCCATGAGTCGGGAACCCCAATCACACGTCGTGTAGTCACACGTGAGTACAAAACTGAAAAATATTTAGTCATCTCTCAATTTAGTTTTCTTTCTGTATCTTTAACCATTATGTTGTCCTTCTCATTTTGAATTAATGTATCCCTCTTTCCTTCCAGCTTTGTCTCCTCCTACTGACCTCAACCTGGAGTCTAACCCAGGCACTGGAGATCTCACCGTCCAGTGGAATGGAGCAAGCACACCAGGTATATACACACCTGCATACCCTGATGTGGATGAAAAAGAAACGATTAAGTCAAACTGAACACAAAACAAGTATTCATATCAAGCATATATGAAGAGTACACCTCTATAATGTGCCCTTTGTTGGAGGCTTTTTTGTGTTTGACATTTTCTCCATGGTTTCAACCGTCTGTCAGTTCATTGATTTTGTCCCCTTCCCTCCTTCCTTAAACTGCTCTCTGCTGTTACATTCTAAAATGTCTTTAAGAAGTAAAAAAGTAAAACTGCTTTTTTTGTGACTTATGCATCCTCTCACTTTTGCCCCATGTCTTTTTTTTTTTTTAACATTCCTATCATTAGACATCACTGGCTACAGAGTGACATGCGCTCCCACCAATGGACAGCAAGGAAACAGTGTGGAAGAGTTTGTGGAGCCGGAGAAGAACTCCTGCACCCTGGAGAACCTCAGCCCAGGAGTGGAGTACAACATCAGCGTTTTTACTGTTAAGGACGATATGGAGAGCACTCCTATATCAACGATTGTTACACCAGGTGAGTGACGGGTCAAATTAGAATCATCCGAGATGATATGGCATTGACAATCAAAAGGGTTACATGTTTAATATGTGTAACAGATACTAATGCTGCCATGTTAACAGTGATGCTCTAACCTAGCATACCCTGCTAAGCTAGACCAAGACTGTTTTCCATCACTAATGCTATGTTGCCTTTGTATATATTAAGGTCCATCAATGGACACGCGTCATTGAATAACATTTTAAGTCTAACTAGATGTTAATATATACCATGAAAAGCAACCTTGCATTATCCCTTCCATCTGTGTGATATTTAAATATCTCACCTAACTGGAAGTCGACAACATGTGTTTCTTGCCCTGACATCTGCTCCTCTCTTTTTCTTTGCTGGTTCCTCTCTCTGGCCCTTGTGTCCACCTCCTTTCTTTTCCTCCTGCCTTTCACCTTGTTTGTTTGGTGTTTTTGTTGTCTTCTCCGCTCTCTCTTTCTTTCTTCCTCCTCTCTCTCTCTCTCTCTCTCCCTACACCCTTTCCCTCCGATTCTCTCCTTCACCTCCCCCAGACGTCCCACAGCTCACAGACCTCAGCTTCAAGGATGTAAGCGACACAACTATTAGCCTCCGCTGGTCCCCGCTCAACACCACAGCCATCACAGGTTACAAGATCACAGTGGTGGCGGCCGGCGAGAGCGTACCCATCTTTGAGGACATGGTTCTGCGAACAACTGGTGAATATAAAGTGTACGGTCTGGAACCTGGAATCGACTACGAGTTCAGTGTGACCACTGTGACGGAAAACGGAGAGAGCAAGCCAACCACCCTCATTCAGCAGACATGTAAGATCCATTTTCCACTGAGCTGAAAAGATTACATTCATTACTTAAATCACCAACAGTGCCTGAATCTTTCTCTAAAAACGATCCTTTATGTAAACACATCATTACAGTGCCTGCGATGGGCGTTACAAATCACACTATGTGCTGAGAGATGATATAATCTAATAAGGTTCCTAATAACTTTAAGACATAGCTCTTTGAAGCAACCCTCTCTACGTTGCTGATGTAATTGCCCTGCATGCTGTTGTTAGTTTAATAATCCTGTCTGTGTGTGTGTGTGTGTGTGCGTGCAGAACATCTGGTTTTGGTTCAGTGGTTTTATCATACTGAGAATCATTTTGCCCCCCATCACAAACACTGCTTGTTCTCTCTCTTTAAAGATGTTGTTAAACTTAAGACACGTTATTCACACTGACGTGCACATTGAACACTGATTTCCCCCTTTTAAGGATAAATAATTCACACCATCAGCTTTTGGTGCCTTTATTATTTTCTTCATCTCTTTTGTAAATAGCTTTTCATATTTTTCTCCTCACCATTTTAACAATTATTACGTGGAACATGACCTTTAAATTACTTTCTGAATTAAGCTTCTATCTTTTCCTTATAGCCGTACCAGCACCTACTGATTTGGGCTTTGGCCAGGTTGGGCCAGACAGTATTGAAGTCACCTGGGTCTCTCCCCAAGTCCCTAATGCCGCTGACATCAACAGCTACCTCATCAGGTACAACAATACACCGCAATGTTTTTAAAGCCTAGTATTTGTGGTTCGGATGCTCTGTGGGATAAACAACAAATACAAAAACAACTCCTGTGTTGTTTGTCTTCTTATTCAGGTATCATCCCATTGATGATGAAGATGACCTTACAGAAACCAGCACAGGAGGCAAAAGTAACAATGTGGTGCTAAGGAGTAAGTTACATCCCAAAAAAAAAAAAAAAAAGGATACCAACAACTACCAGACACACACACAAACAGCCTTTGTAATTAAATACATTTCTTGTCCACAGACCTTCTGCCTAACACAGAGTATCTGGTGAGCGTGGTGTGTGTTTATGAGCAGAGAGAGAGCTCACCCCTCGTTGGCACCCAGAAAACAGGTGAGTCTTAATTGCTGCAATTTAAAATTGAATGAAATGAATTATATAGGCCATGTTTTAAAATAATTCATCATAAAAGACTTTGACTTGGAACTTCATGCATCCTTTTCTGTCCCTCATCCTCCTTCAGCCATGGACTCACCAGTTGACATGCGTTTCTCTGAGATCTTCACCAACTCCTTTACCATCCACTGGCTCGCTCCCCAGAGCAAAATCACCGGTTACCGTATCCGTTACCAGATGGTCAGTGGTGGGAGGGCCAAGGACGAGAGGCTGCCCCCATCCAGGAATCACTTCACCCTGACAGGACTGACAGCAGACACAGAGTACCTAGTAAACATCTATGCAGTGAACCGGGCACAGGAGAGCCTGCCACTCAGTGGAACACAGAAGACAAGTATGAAATCCCAATTTAATATTGGATTTTATCCAGATACTCTCCATGTTATCATCATTATCATCATGTTGTTTATTTATTTTTCCCTTTCTCTCCAGTCTCTGATGCTCCCACAGACCTGGAAGTGCTAGACTCCTCCCCCACCAGCATCACTGTCCGCTGGGATGCCCCACCTGTCACAGTGCGCTACTACAGAATCACACATGGAGAGATCGGTGAGCTTGTTTCCTGAAAGTACAGATAAAAAAAAAAAAAAGTATGTTTGGTTTCAGGTCTTTAAGTTCTAGTTTGTATTTTCTAATCTTTTCGTTTTTTACTTATTGTGTAATTGATGTAATTGGTAATGGAATAAAGATAACTGAAATGTTTTAAGAGACTACTCCAGGTCTCTTTTATTTTGGTATCAGTGTCTCTAACATTTGTAACATTGTCTGTTTTTATCCAGGAGGTCACAGTAATCCTAAGGAGTTCACAGTGCCTGGCTCTCAGTCCACTGCTACCATCACTAACCTGAAGCCCGGCACTGATTACAATGTCACTGTCTACGCTGTGACTGGTAGAGGAGACAGCCCTGCATCAAGCACTCCAATCTATGTCATTCACAGGACAGGTACACACATTCACACACACTCCCCAGGAGGCTTAAGTCACTCAGTCGCCCTTATAAAGTCATTGTTCTTTCTCCTATTCACCTCTCTGTCCCTCCTTTTCCAGGAGTCGACTCTCCGTCTGAAATGGAAGTGATGGAAGTGAAAGACAACAGTGTCACAGTGAGATGGAGCCCTGCCCAGGGACCAATCAAAGGATACAGGGTGACTGGGGTCCCAAGAAATGGACAGGGACCTTCCTTCACTGAAGTGGTGGCTCCAGGTATTGCATCAATCTAAACTTCCTCATAGGTTTTGTTGATAATGCTTGGTTAGATGTAAATGTCTTGTTTATTGCTAAGCAGTTTCTTTCTTTATCCCAGTGTTCATATCCTGTTCCTTCTCTATTCCAGATCAGACAGAAATTACTTTCTCAGGACTGATGCCAACAGTCGAGTATGTTTTGAGTGTGTATGCTCTTGGACAAGATGGAGAGAGCTCTCCAATGGTTGTGAATGCTTTAACAAGTAAGGGTTTTTACTTTCTGGAGATATACTTTTGTGAAAAAGGTTTCTTACTCTCAGAAAAAAAATAAAACATACTCATCCAACTCCACTACCTTGCAACCCTTCTCATCACTTGTTTTAGATGTAGACCATCCTAAGGACCTGACCTTCTCAGACATCGACTCCACCTCACTGAGAATCAGCTGGGACAGTCCTGAGGGAATCGTCACTTCTTACAGGGTCTTCTATTCAAGTCCGGAGGAGGGTGAGAGAGAGCTGCGCCCTGCTCCCCGAGGAGATGCTGAGTCCACTGTCATCTATGGTCTACAACCCGGCACTGAATACACTGTGAAGGTTATCGCTCTGCATGATGACACAGCCAGCACACCACTTGTTGCTACACAAGCTACAGGTAAAGAAGACAGATTCTTTATAGTAACCGCTATGGCGCAGACATGAAAGTGAAAGACAAAGTTTCGAAACCAAATTGTATCCCTCTAACCCTCTTCTTTAAATTATGTTCCTCCCCCCAGCCATCTCACCCCCAACCAACCTCAAGTTCTCTCAGGTCGGCCCCACATTTTTCACTATGAGCTGGTCGGTGCCAGGCCAGGAAAACCGTCTAACAGGGCTAACTGGCCTCACAGGCTACCGTGTGGTGGTGAACCCAAAGGACAAAAGCGGCCCTACCAAGGAGATTAACTTGGCCCCGGACACCACACAGGCACACATCTCAGGACTTATGGTGAGTAGGGGTCTGTAAGAGTGGCAGAAAGTCCCTAGTTGTCCAGCCTCACTTCTACATTTGAAACAGTTTTCACCAAGTTTAAAGGTTGATTTTTCACCAGACTGGTATCTCTTCATTTTCTGAAGGAAACATATGGATACTGTTTTGGTAAATTGTGGATGTCACTGAGTTAATTTTGAGCACTAGATAGATAAATGGAAAAATAAGGAAATTGGAAAATAGTGCGCTAACAAAGACAAACACATGGAGACGCACACCCACTCTGTGATTATAACTCACAGATAAAATGTAATAGACAGGCGGACTCATGCCTGTGGGCAGTGTGGGTCCACAAGCATAAACATGCAAGAACAGTTGTGATTTCTGCAGCTGCCAGTATAATTAAACTCAGTCCCATGGAGACTGAGCAACACTGAGAGAGACTCAAGTCTTTGTTTGTGTTTTTTGTCTCTCTTGCCTCCCAAAGGTTGCAACTAACTATGAAGTCCATGTTTATGCCTTGAAGAACTCGCTAACCAGCAGGCCAGTCCAAGGAGAGGTCACCACCCTGGAGAGTGAGTCTCTAAAACAATCAGATTGCTTAGTTTTGATGCGTGAAACACAAAGACAGTTACATTCTTTTTTTAAAGGCAGTTCTTGTGTTTGCAAAAAAAAGTCACTCTTTGAAATATAAACACCTTGGTTTTTGTTTCTTCTCTTCCTTTTTGGTTCTATCTTTCAAAATCTCCCTGAAGATATCAGCCCCCCTCGTCGTGTTCGTATCTCAGACGTCAATGACTCTTCCATCACCTTTACCTGGCGCTCCAAGACAGAAACCATCTCTGGCTTCCTGGTTGAGGCCACGCCCACTTCTTCCTCATCAGACTACATACCCATTCAGAAGACCATCGGCCCTGACTCACGTTCATATGCTATCACAGGTACAAAGACATGAGAATGTGCAACAATCACAACATCAGATGCTTATTTTGACAACAGTCCATAATTAATATGTGACTCTCTTCATTTAAGGTTTGGAGCCAGGCACAAATTACAAGATCACCATCTATACACTGAAAGGCAATGGACGCAGCGCACCTTTCACACTCACTGCCACCACAGGTAACCATTCATCTGTGCTCTGCTGTGTCAGTCTAGAGATATACATAACAAGAGTCGGACATCATGAGAGCTCTTGCTTTGGCAAGATTCTAAGATATGTTAAATGTGTAGTTATATAAATAAATCTATATTAAAAGGAATATATTGAAGTAAACATGCATTTTTATCCCCTCTGTTGTCACCCTTACATCAACAAACCAGTGTTTGAGTATGTTGGAGATGTTATACAATGCTTTGATATTAGCTGTAGTTAGCATGATTATTTATAAACACACTTTTTTTCTTTCCATTAATGCAGCTTAAAATATTGTACTTTTATGTGACTTTTGATTACCTTCTGAATTGTCTCATCTCTTCCAGCCAAACCAGTGGTCATCCCTCCCACCGATATCCGCTTCACCTCCCTGAACCCGAATAGCATTTCATTCACCTGGGAGCCTTCACGCAGCCCGGGAGTTACAGGGTATTACGTCACCTATGAAGAAGCTGGAGGTCTGCCTCGTGAACTGACACCTAGACCCCATGCAGGCCAGAGCTACGCCATTATTAATGGTGAGTTCAGTCAGTGGTTGAGATAAGCTGTGCACTGAAACATATATTTATGTTTTATAAATGTATGAAACAGTACATGTTAATCATGAAAATGTGGTGTGTGCTGTTACAGGTTTGAAACCGGGAACAGAGTACGTCATTAAGATCGTGACTCTGCAGAATACCTTGAGAAGCACGCCTCTTGTGGGCAAAGCCAGAACACGTAAGTACACATATTATCAACATTTGCAGATGAATGACTTGTTAAAACTTCAGATTTTTTTTACTTTGACTACATTTTTGTTAAATCATTAACGTAGAATTCAAACATTGTCAGAAGACACTTTGGAGAAACCGGGCACACAAGTAAAATGTTCTGCATAATGTTTGGGACTGCTCTCTGCTGCCCTCTGCTGGCTGCTGTAACTCATAACAAAGAAGAGTCTTGTCTTCATCTACATTCCTCCATACTAAACACTGATGTTAAAATGTGTGAAGGCCCTCATGGAGTTGGGTAACCATCATGGGCAGCAGTTAAACTACTGGAATCTAAAACCACAAATGACATGTTTCTTAATGGCACAACCCTAGCCAGTTAACACGAGCCATTTGACTATTTAGAACAAATCAACTTTTTTGATCAGACCCATTTTAACAGACTCCATTAAAATTAATTCAACCAGTTTGGCTACAAACCTAACAACACATTAATCTGTTTTGGAAGCCACAATTTGTATGGATTTACATGATGCACTTTTCCCTAAGAAAACATTTTCTCAGTTACCACTAATTTACTTTTTTCCTTTGTGGGAAAAAAAGAGATAACTGGAATGGGATGGGCATGTTGAAAGATTTCCTGTTTTTTGAGGGGCACAGTGGAAACTCAGCCATCCTGTATTTATCTACTTACATTTCCACTCTTGGATGTGTGCATTTGCTTTGCCTTGCTTGCGTCTGACAGCGAGCATACATGTGTGTTTTCTCAGAGCTAACTACAGATCTATTGGTGCCAAAGCTGCCAGAGCTTCCAGTCCCTCACAGACCAAGCACTGATATCTTGGATGTTCCTGACTCCTACAATGACCAAATGTAAGAATCTGCATCAAACTAGAATTATTAAAAAAAACTCATCCGCCTTTTTTTTTCTATGGATTTTCCATTTGTATAAATCATTCTTCTTTTTCCTCCATCCCTTTCTCTTTCTGCGACCAGTTTCGACTCTAACCAAGTTCACTTGGCTGGTACTAGTGGCCAGAACCAACCAGGCCAACAGGGCCAGCACATCTATACAGAGTACCAGAGCCTGGGCCCCAATAACGGACTCAACGGCCCCTATAGTGGACCCAAAGAGGGCCGGAGACCAACTCTCAGAGAACCCCTCATCTATATTCCTGTAGCAGGCCCTGATGGAAACAGAGTACCATTGGTCAAGGTGTGTGTCCTTTGGATTGGATTGTTATGAGTTTAATACTTAATGTAAACATACGCTCAACAGCATCTGATAAATAAGTTGTTAATTCTTTAACACTTAAAAGTATACAGTGTTTAATTTATAAGGGTTTTCTCTCTGCTGTATGTTTAAATCTGTAGGTGAGCGAGGGTCCTCTACCAGGTCTTGCATTTGGTTTCCCTGACAACGAAACAGACATGCCCCAAGAAGCACAGACTGTCACCACCATCTCATGGCAACCCATTCCTCAGACCTCAGAGTATGAGGTGTCCTGCAATCCCATCACACACCTGGAGGAGAGGGGCTTCCAGGTACACACACACACAGCTACACACACATTGTGAGTACTCTTAAGTGGGAGGAACGCTCACTAACTTTCCCTTTCTCCGTATAGATGCGTCTTCCTGGCACTTCTAACAGGGCAACGCTCATTGGATTGACATCTGGAGCTTCCTATAATGTTGTAGTAGAGGCCATGAGGGGCACGGCTAAAGAGAAGGTTTTGGAAGAAGTCGTGACAGTCGGCAATGCCGGTACAGTAGCACCCACTAACTTAACTTTGACATGCGTTGAATTGTATCATATATGACACATGTTCTCATGTTAGCACAGGGTTAACGACAACCATTAGCTCTATTTTAAACATTTTTTTTCTCCGCTCCCTTAGTTCCAGGTGACCTCCCCATTACGCCCAGCCAGGATGTGTGTTTCGACACATTCACACAAACCTACCACGAGGTGGGCTCCGAGTGGGAGCGCATGTCTGAGACAGGCTTCAAGCTGTGGTGCCGCTGCCTGGGGCTGGGCAGTGGCCATTTTAGGTGTGATTCATCCAGTGAGTGGCTTATTAACACCATCCCAGCATGCTTTGCATTCACCATGGAATTAGAAATCGAATGATTCTATGTGATTAATTTAAGAGGAATTTATAAGAGGAGATTGTACCAGAAGCACGTTCAATTTCAAGACTTATTACAGTTATGAAGACCACAAAAATGAAAAGATTGTTCATTATAATCGTTATAAATTCCTTTTGCTGCATTTTAAAGCCATAGAATTATACAGTGTGTGTTCTATGTGCAGCAAATCACTGTAAAAACATTACTGGCATGGGCAGCCTCGGGAATGATAACTGGATAATTTACAGTAAAAGAAAAAAGTCTACCCAAAGTTATCTGTGCTTTGATTTTAATGTAATATTTATGATTTTACTTTCATAACTGAATTGAGTGTTCTGCCCATGTTAGTCTCTTAGCTCTGCCTCTCTTGCATTACAGCAAACAGGGCACAGCTAAGCTAAGCTAACTAGCCTGCACCAGTCTCACTTATTTATTTGTATTGTCCATAAAGGTAACAAGGCAATACCAAAAACTGAGCTCTGTGCCAATTTGCTTCAGGTTCAAAGAAACCCTTCTCTGTCCTAATCTTTGTATTGTCCCCATCAGGACATTGTTTCAATTATTTCACATTCACCCGGCCATGACTTATCCCAAGGATGAAATCACATGATGTTACTGAATAATATATTTTGTAAAGGAAGATGAAGGCCTGTTTTTGCTCCTCTCTACCTTCACTAATGATTAACTGTGAAATATCTCTCTATCTCTCCTCCATACTCTTATTCTCCTCACTCTTTGTTCTCCCCTTGTTTGTCATTTCAATCCAACCTTCCTCTTCCTCCTTGCCATCATTGTGCATTTCTTCATTCCTTTCCCTCTGCCTGTCTTTGCATTCTCTTTTGCCCTCCATACTTCTTCTCCCTCCTCCAGAATGGTGTCATGACAGCGGTAATAACTATCGTATCGGTGAGAAGTGGGATCGCCAAGCCGAGAATGGTCACATGATGAGCTGCACCTGCCTGGGCAATGGCAAGGGAGAATTCAAATGTGAACCCCGTAAGTACTGAATGGTACACCCACATGCACAACAAGACCTGTACACGGACGTCCGGCTTACTGCAATTTGACACTGGTTGACTTTGTTTTATTTGGATTAGTCTATAGTGTGTCACAAAATAAATCATTGCATTGCCCATAAATACTGTATCTGTTCTGTTATGAATTGAGAATACATGAAATATAATGTGAAAACTGTGTTATGTAACCCCCCCCCTTCAGATGAGTCAACATGTTATGACGATGGGAAAATGTACCAGGTGGGGAACCAGTGGCAGAAGGAATACCTGGGTGCCATATGTACATGTACCTGCTATGGAGGACAACAGGTGTGTAACACTTTTTGTGTGTGTGCAATACATACAAACCCATGCTGTTTTTTTTTTTTAATTCATTGACAATGCTAAAGGGTACAAGTATTACTCATTATTGGAGTGCCCTCTTCTCTATGTGTGTTTGCCTTAACTCAGATCAGAACAGAAACCTTGTGTTCAGACTGTTTTTGTTGGTATGTGTCCTTTAATGTATTTCTCCTCCTCTTCAGGGCTGGCGTTGTGAGAACTGCAGAAGGCCTGGAGTGCACACAGATTTGGACGCTGACCTCCTTCATCCAGTCAGTCCTGATGTCTTTGACCGGTACAGAGAAAACGCTCTGCGCAAACTGGTCAGTATCTCACAAGACTGTTTACTACTAATCTCTTGCTCCAAAACAAACAGAACAAATAAATTATGTTTATCGTTTAGCAACAGTTTATTGCTAAACTGGCAATCTTACATGTTTTCCTTATAATTCCAAAACACTTATCTTATATAATGAAATCCCATTGCAAAGTCATCACGGTATTGTTTTTTTATGGCTACTACAACCCTGACAATTCTCCACAGACTAATCTCTTCCCCTCTCCTCTCTACAGAACATTCAGTGTCCGATTGAATGTTTGAGGCCAGAGCTGCTTGCAGATGCCCAGAGCCCCTCAGAGTAGAGAAGAGGCAGTGTGTGTGAAGAAAGACAAAAGTAAAGTTCTTAACAGCATTGCTACCACTTCAAGAAGGAAACCTCCTCCTGTTTTCATTAAAATGAAGACATCTCCATCAGACGTGTGCCTTGAAGGTTTTACCCTCATCCAAATCTAGGGCCTTAAGACCAGTGTGTGAGATCAATGGGCATCTATAAGCTTATGGCCACAGTATTTCTCCAACATTCTTTGAAGGGTAATGCGAGCGGAAAAGGTATTAGTGGATTGCAATGTGCAACCTCACCACTAGATGGTGACGAAATCTTCACACTGGTCTTTTTTTAAAACTTTCATACACCAGCCTCTGTGCCTTATCCAATATCTGTCATGCTTTCTATTTAGCTGTGATCCATTATTCTTCAGTAGACACAGGGATTTCTTCATTCAATCCATTCAAACACAAATCCTGCTGCTTTATCACCTGCCAGTATTGTTGTCTATTGTTACTGTTGCAATGTGACTTTTTCATAATTTAAACATTCCATGACAATTCTCTTCATTTTACAGACAAAACACACCACTCAAAGTATTTCTGCTCCCTGATAATAACTGTAGCAATATTTGTTACATTTGCCATGATTATGTCTTTCACTGTGACTTGTATATGTAGTGAGAAAGCTTTTAGGTAATGCATGAATGCATTTTCTGGCTCCTTTTACATTTCCAAATCAGGACAGTGTTGGTTTATTGCAAATTAATTCTTAAGCCATACATTATTTTCATTGTTTCCAGGTTATATTGACATTGTCTCAGTTTGACTTACTCAGCTTAACTGTTAGAATAAAATAAAGTGGTCAAGCCTGTTTTAATTAAATTTAATGAGCATTCTTTGTAATGCAGCAATACAGTTGTAGAAGCTGTAAAGTATTATTATTGTCCTGCCTGTTTCTCCATAGCAAACGTCCTGCTATATTTATAAAAACAGATCAGTGGCTCACCAAGATTTATCTTTAATTCCGAAGAAAATTCAAACCAACAAACTTTTCCTAAACAAATATGAGCACTGTTGGCTAAAAGTAAGAATTGAAACAAAAGGGACCTTGCTAGCATTATAGCACAGGCACCTGAAGTCATCATGTAGATATGATTATCTGATTATCTGAACTTTTTAAAAAAAGTTTTAGTTCCTGTTTAAGAAGAAGCTGACTGACCAAAAGACATGTTATTTCAAAATGTATCAGAAAAGTCACAATTTTTTCCAAGTGAAATGCATTTTAAAGCGTAAATGTTTGTAGTTTTTTTTTTTCATTTCCTTTATTTATCCCTTTTTATTCAGGCATTTGTTCAATGCTTTTTGGGGTGTACACTTTATTTTTTGATTCACTTGTTTTTTATATTGTTGGTGCCAAAATCGGAACTACTGTGGACTGAATCTTTATAATAAACTAAAAAAAAAAAAAACAAGCCAACTGTTGTCTGTTTTTATGAAAGAAGTTGTTTAATGGAGGGAAACAAATAATTCAACCCTGATCAGAGGACATTTTGTTTACTGCTTATTCATTGAATGTATTCTCACCTTCAGCATTTCACCCTGCTGAAACTCCCTCACCACCACACATAAAACTAAATTCTACAGCTTAAATAATTAGGCCAGCAAAAAAAAAGCTTCTGGTTTCATCCCAACCTCCACTCTCTGAACTGTGCAACCACCTGGTGATCTGGAAAGCACACCCTGATCAGATGACCACTCTCTGACCCCCTCCACTACTGATTCCATTTACAACCATCAAGCTGACGGTACAAAGTCCCACTGACCCCGAAAAGAATTTACAAGAAATCCCTTATTCCCTCTGCAATAAACTACATGAACAATCTGAAATAGACACTTCACCACACCAGGTTTTTTAATCAGCTGCTATTTTTACAGTCCCGTTTTAAGTGCTTTATCATATGTTTTAATTTTATTTTAAAACGAGAATCGTGTGTATTTGGCCTACTATTTTAACCGGAAATTGATTTATTACATAAATAAGGCTTTTCGGCATATAATGTAATATTACAATCTCTCATTAAGTGAAAGGCATGTGCTTTTATTCTGAAAAGCAAAACAGAAACAACCGGAAATCCTTTAAAATAATTATGTTGGCATTGTTTCCGGTGAATCAATTTTTACTTCAGAATAAAATTCAGGAAAATTGTTTGATACTGAAACAGCAGACTAAAGGTTATACTCAGAATGATCTGTGTTAGCTATCAGCGCACCTACGACAAATGTGACTTCGTTTGTTTTTTTGACTGTACTTAAACATTTATAAAAAATACTCTTAAACAAATAAACAAAGCTGACAAAATAATAATAAAAAAGACCCTAAGTCACAGTTTACGGTTTTCCACATTGCGCTTCACGTTAGTTGTCAAAAAAAAAAAAATAGTCGAAATACTTTTTAGTGTTATCAGTAATGTGTATTTTCGCGTGTTTTTATTTTGAAAAACTCGAAACGGAAGTACTGTTTGTTAACTGCAGCTAAGGAAGCAAAGAGTGAGAAAGAAGTTTAAGAGAGAGAAGTGTCGTTAAATCTCCCCGAACACGCGAAAAGATGGAAAACGATTCAATCGACGGTTTAATCCTGAAGCTGCACGATGTCAACGCGGTGAAGTTTGGAGAGTACAAGCTGAAAACTGGCATGATGACCCCCATTTACATCGACCTGAGAGTTCTCGTGTCCCACCCAGCTCTCATGAACCAGGTGAGCACGTGCGGTTGTTACCTGGGCACAGCGTGAACTTTTAATGACATACTGAGTCGTACGTGTGTTACAGACTGCTTATACATTATTTAAACATTTTTTAACAATCTCGTTTTAATGTAAGTTTCCTCGTGCTGAAGAGATGCGAGGCTGGAGTGCACGTGGGTGTTCTCCAATCAGTCAGGATTGATTTTTTTCCACATGATTTAGTTTGGGACAAGAACAGCTACTTCGCCAATCTTGCAGCTGTTGACCTATCCAGGATCAAATCGACAATATCGTAGAGGAAAACACATTTAATGTAATACTAATCTGAAGTTTCAATCAACGGGCTAACACAAGTTAAACATCACCATTTGACCCAATTTGTTTAGACAAGTATGTTAGTTTCACATCCATACAGTGCACAGTTTAAACATTATCATCTTGTGCAGGTTAATCCGAAGTGAAGGACTTTTATGTACCTTTTTTTTATTATTGTCATGCATGCAACACATACACCACTGCCAATTCAACACTTTCCCCTTTCTCTGCTTTTTTTGTTTGTTGTTGTTGTTTTGTTTGCAGGTGTCTGCTCTTATCTACCAGCGTGTGCAAGAGGAGGAGCTGCAGTTTGACAATGTGTGTGGGGTTCCATACACCGCTCTGCCTTTGGCCACAATCATCTGCTCCAGACATGAGCTGCCCATGCTCATCAGGCGAAAGGAGGCGAAGGACTATGGTGGGTGGCTGGATGGCTTTAACCTCACAGACACCAAAAGAAAGACAGTTTTTTTGCACTTAAGTGTGTCCCATCCTCTAACACAATCTTTTATCTGTATCGGTTTTTGTTTAGAGAGCCAGTCTTAATTCACAAGCCAAAAAAAAACAATATTTTCTTAAAATATGACAAAATATTTTGGATTTTGGCTCTTATTATAACTTTATGTACTTTATTGGGGAGGTGCTGCTGCTCCTCTCTTTGGCTTTCAGTGTTTACTTATGGCACAGTTTGGATGGCACTTCTTTCAGTGAGGATATAACCGGTGTTTACTCTCAACTGTCAAAGTTAAACACCCTCCTAATTCACATTATTGAAAGTAGGAAAAACAATCTCTGTCCCATGTTTAAGAGTTGAATAGTTTTTTTCGTCATGTCACAAATAGCTGTAGATAAGGGCATCGTTCCTTCTAATATACTAGTTTTTTTGTCACAGTGTACCTACAATAAAGTTTTGAATAACTAAAGATTCCTATTGCTCTAAAAAGTGGACTAGACAACTCTAGAAAATCATTGTAGTCATCCAAGTGGACTCTCTCACTCTACAGATGTGACTGAAGCATCCATGTACATCAGCTGTGGGAGAAAACGTTTGCTCCACTTGGAGAAAGTTGTGTCTATAATATGCGCTGTCCTTCCTGTTAGGAACCAAGCGTCTGGTGGAGGGCTCGTTTCGAGAGGGGGATATATGTCTGATCATTGAGGACACGGTGACCAGTGGCACCAGCATCCTGGAGACTGCTGAAGTCCTCTACAGCGGGGCTGAAGGTGCAGTATTAAAAAGAATGACAGCAGGGATGATCATTTAACATGGATGTATTTTGTAAAGGTTAAGTCAAGTAGTAATGACCAATAACAGCAATGTAGGAGTGCTTTCATTACATCAACCATATGAAACCCTTTCCCCCGTGGTTTTGATTATTGTTATCTGTTCAAGGTGACAGACGCTATTGTCCTAATGGACAGAGAGCAGGGCGGCGTGGAGTATTTGGCTTCTAAAGGGATCAAACTTCATCCGATCATCTCCATGTTCAAGCTGCTCAATGTGCTGCTGGCAGCCAATCGCATTGACGCCCAAACCGCCCAGAGTGTCCGCAAGTTTATCTTGGACAACAACACTTTCAGGTACTGGAGAGTCAGGGTTAGTGTGTGTTTGAACACAGATGTACAGTAACAGTTACCAAGACACATTTGCAACTTGCCTTTTCAGCACCAAAGGGGAAAACGGGAATGGTGTTCCTGCTATCAAGAAGCCATGTTTGGATCAGACGATGGAGCTGAGCTATGGAGACAGGGCCAAACTACCGGGTATGTAGTCGTCCATCTCGGCCAAATGGCCAGCACTAGAATGGTGTGCTGTAAATCAAATTGACAATGTTTAAAAATGTGGACCAATTTTAGAACTGTTGAAGGATTTATGGTATCATTCCTGACTAAAACCTGGCTCACACTACAGGGATTATTAAAAAAATCCTAACTGACTTTGAAATCGGATGGCATCACACACATAGAGAGAATCTCAACAGATATTCTCCTCCATTATCTCAAACATGCTCACACTGAAATATATGAAAATAATGGCGCAACACATATTACAGGATTTTACTAAAATGATTGTGCCTGTCGCAGGAACGCACAACCTCACGTGACCTCATGTGAACAATGGAGCCGGTAGTTAAATTTACGATTATAAAATTATTACGATTATATATAATTATTATGCTAAAGAGGAAGAAAAATACGAAACGTTGGGTGGAGAAATGTCTGGGGAGACGCAGACAACATGGGTTGTATATTCTTCTGAGAGCTGGGGGTAAGATTGTAACCGTCAGATGAAGAGGTGGGAAAAAAATCGATTCATGTAAAAATTGAGATTCTTCACTTCTAAGATTTTAAAATCGATTCATAACTTCCAATTTTTTTTTTACATTTTTTTTTACATTTTTTTTTTTTGGGGTGGGCTAATCACTTCAGTCACTCCCTGCTAAGTGCTAAGGCTAGCTCTTTTTAACTCAGTAGAATGCCAAATAGAGCAACAACAAATTCAGCCAGTCTCACAGATGACTGGAGTAGATCCTGAAGGATGTACTCATTCAAAAATAGACTTTGAATCAATGAATCGTTTTGAACCGAAAATCTATTCTGAATCGAATAGTGACCCCAAGAATCAGAATCGAATCATGAGACACCCAAAGATTCCCAGCCCTAGTCACGTTAATTTCAGGTGTCCAGCACACCTGTGCGGCGTGAATCTTGTCGCTGGTCGCCACTTATTACTGTCCTCCCTGGCCTCTAGCGGTTATTTTAGTCACGCACGACTTCCACCTGACTGAATGGTCAAGATCTTAAAATCCTAAATATCAAACATGTTTGATATGAATTGGGGTGTCCAAGACACTTTCAGAGCAGAAATGGGGACGTTACGTTTGAGTTACCCCTCACACTAAAAGATAATCTGGGAAGATAATCGGTTCGGGGCAGCATTTAGTTGGGAACACCCCCTGGATTGTCGAGAGAGAGGAATTGGACTTCAAATCGGCCCGATTATCCTGCAGTGTGAGCCAGGCTTAACACATTTCACTCTTGCTTCTGTGTAATTATTTATGTCAGACTTTTAAACATGTTGTACATTTTATTTTCTCATTTAAGTCGTTGTCAACTTAAAAATTAACTTTCCATTTTTAAATTAAGCTCTTAATCTAGTCCCTCCTTCCTCTTGTCCACAGATGTTCACCCTGTAGCATCTAAGCTGCTCAGCATCATGGAGGAGAAGCAGTCTAACCTTTGTGTGTCCGCTGACGTGACGATCAGTGAGGAGCTCCTACAGCTGGCTGACTCTCTGGGTCCCAAAATCTGCATGTTGAAAACCCATGTAGACATCCTAGAGGTGGGTGTGAAACAAGTCCGTATAGTACCAGAAACATTGTTGTCAGGACAAATCATCTAATGCTTAACTGT